GAGCAGATGCCACATACTTCACGTATATTGCATCCTATGATCTCAGCAACTCGAGGAGATAGATATAGGTCTTACCATTCAACAGAAGAGAGATTTAGGGTTGTTCAAAGTCAGAGTCGTGGTCAGGATTTTAGTGTAGATCTGTCTTCAAAACCCAGTATTTTTTAACCATGGTGTATAGTTTCCATTCAAACACCTTGTTAACAATCAAATACTAAATGTAAATATTAGTTATAAAATTTGTTACTAATGTCTATATTTAAATTATTAGTGATACAGAAGCTTAGAAGTTTAAGATTTTACATTTTGTCCAAGCAAGCTATTAGGATTTTGTTTACAAAGGTCAGTTCAAGTACAGCACAGTTGCTGCTTCTGTTTTCACAACATGGTATATACTATGTTCATAATGTTGACCCGAAGGCATCTCAAGATCCTTATAGTAGTTTTCTAGCTGCATAACAAATAACCACAAAAAAAGCAGCTTAATGCAGTAACCATTTATTAGCTCACAGATTTGGAGGTCGCAGTTCCGATTGAGGTATGACTGGGCTCTAAAATCCAGGCATGGGCCAGGCTGTGTTCTTGTATGGAGGTCGGGGTCCTGTTCTAAGCTTACATGACTGTGGCAGAATTCAGTTCCTTGTGGCCATAGGACCGAGGGCCCTGTGAGAGGCAACCACATGTTGATGTTTGTCTGCCTCTCTTTCTCTTTCCCTTCCCCTCGCTCTAAAAATGAACAAATAAAATATTTTTTAAAGCCATCACAATCCTAAAACATCAAGTAAGACTTTGGCTTGAATTTTAGTGTTATAAGTTTTATTGCGATCTTCTTTTGTGGGAACTGGTGTTCTCTGTGTTTGTGGAGGTGCGCCACGTACCGGTGTGCCTTGGCCGGGTTGAGGGTTTGGTTCTTCACCACCCCAATAAAGCGAGCATCGTGATAAAGCAAGCTGTAATCTTTATGCTGGTGGAGGGTTTTGCCTTAGAAAAACATAGCATCAGTGAAGTATAATAAGTGAAGCATAGTTAAACGAGGTATGCCATATGTATTTGAAGGAGAGGCACACTTAATTGATTGGGGTGATCTCTAGTTTTTTGCGTTATACAGTGATAAGAAAAATAAAGTACTGGGTTTTATAATACTTAGGCTTGGGAGCCGAAATTAGACAGTCATGCATATACCACACTCTTTGAATACTACTTCCTGGCTCTTTCACTGATACGAAGGGTCTCTTCCTGGGAGCTGCCCTGCCTGGCCAGGAGTGGGGGCAGAGGCGCAGGCACAGTCTGCGTCCGCCCCGCTTAGGTGGAGTGGGAGCGCTGGCAGCCTTGGTTTGTCCTTCTTAATCTTGAGGTGGACAAATATTGGATACTGTTCTTAGTCCCATTGTAAGTTGATTTATTTTCTTAGTGCCATAGGAGTTTAGAGCTGAAGGGGACCTTGGAGAAGTATTTTGTCTCCTTCTCCCCTTTGGGGAACAAGAGGTAAAGCCACCTGACAGTACCACCATACCAAATCAATAGCGTAATGGGCACATAAGTGGTTTTATAGAAAACATTGGGTTTCTCCCCATCCTCTCATTTGGTTCTTGAACGTCCAATTCAGTGATCCTCGAACTCTTCCCACCTTAACAAATTAAAGAGAGGTAACACATTCATGTTGGTGAGAGGAGGGAGCCCATTTGTGTGAATTACAGCAAGGTCTGCAGCAGGGATTTTAAACTGAGAACCATGGACAACACCTGCCACCCCCTGCCCGACCCCCCTGGACATACCCTTACTCGAGGGAACTTATTAAAATCTTAGGGTGGGAGCTGAGAGGGGAGAGTATGTGAAGCTTGAATACCCCCAGGTGATTCTGATAAGCTTCATGTAAGATTTACTTAGACAATAATATTTTGTATTCTATAATCCCACCTTCTTATGTCGCTGAAATATCTGTTACACTTACTATTTCTGCACAGAGGCTTTGAGTCATTAGTAGTTATGTAGTCTATCTTGCCATCTAATCCAGGAATTACTTCTATCATACCCCAGCTGATTGGTCATTCACAATTTTTCCCTAATTGCTTGTCATGATGAGACCCTAACTTCCTATCATCAGGCAGTTCCAGTTCTCCTGTACGTCAGGCTAAGGTTTGCAGTCTTGCAATTTCTAACTCACTAGGAAGCCTACAGTGTTTCTCCCCCAAGTTTATTCTTCTCCAAGGTGGGAATCCCCAGTTCTGTCCGCCATTGCTCATGGTTCCAGGGCCCCCATTCTGGTCACCTTTCTCTGGAGTGATCCCCTGTTTACCTGGGAGTGAGACGAGTACAGCCGAAGGCAGGGGTGCTTGTGTGGGCCACGCCCCAGCACCCGACTGCTGCGGTGACTTTCTGATGGGTCCTGTTTCACACGGCTTCCAAAGAAGGCTTTAAATCAGTCGGGTCACTTTTTCTTCCCTGTTTGAGGCTTTCCAGTCACTTGTCATTGCTCTTAGAATAAAATACAAACTATCTTAACAAACTGTTAAGACCCAACATGATCTTGCCCCAACAAACTCTTTTTGTCCCGTCTGTATCACTCACTCGTAGCCACGTTGGATTGCTCCATTGCTGTTTTTTTTTAGTCTCTTCTTCCCTTTTTCCACATGGCAGGCTCCTTCCATCCAAGGCTCAGACCTAGTTCCTCTCCCCAGAGGCCTTTCCTCACCACCCCACAAGGTTCTGTTCATCTGCGGCTCATGTTCCTCAAGCTCATCACCCCACCTTCCTTGTTCACTGCTACAGCTCAAATACTTAGAAGAGTATCCTACCCATGGTGGGCTTTCAATAAATGTGTAACAAGTGCAAAATGAGTGGTCCCACCAGGGTCAAACACACCTCTCATTTTCACTAATATTTAGATCCTGAGGTTGTTGAGGATTGTTCTGTTGTATAGGGAGGCCAGGGAAAGACCATTTCTTTGTCAGCTCACCTTGAACAAGAGATCAGATACCGGCTGCATTTTGAAGGGAGAGCCCAGAGGATTGACTGTGGGAACAGAGGTGGGGTGTTGGAGGAGCCAAGGAGCCAGGGGTGGCTCCAAGATTTTTGTTCTGAGCAGTCGGAGAAGTGGAGTTACCACTGCTGATATGGTGAAAACCAGGAGGGAAGGTTTAATACAGGGGTGGGGAGAGGGATGTCAAGAGTCAGTTTTGGATACAGTTTTGGACATACAAAATTATCATCCTTAATTCACTGTGCCTCAGTTTTCCCAGTGATAAGCAGAGGTTAATAATTCCTCCTATAATTGACCCCGACCAGCATGGCTCAGTGTAATATAACATGGCAGCCGGTCAATATAACCAATTGATGTTTCTTTCCCTCTCTTTCTCCATCCCTTCCCCTCTCTCTGAAAATAAGTACATAAAATCTTTAAGACATAATTGTAAGGATTTGAGAAGTTAATGTTCCTAACTCAAAACAAAATAATAGAGAAAGTGGGTAGAGAAAAATAAGTTGATTAAGAATAGCCATTAGAACATAGAGCTTTTACCAAGTTTTTCAGGCATGTGAAAACCTAAGGATAATTCACAAAGGTATTTTTCCTGTAGGATTTTAGGCTGAATTGAAATGGTTTTTCTTTGGCATAGGGAGATGTTCAGTAATTCAATTGGAAATTAAGGTGGTATCGACTCAGAGTACCTGAAAACCATTTCTGCAACCATTGGAGCATTAAGGAAAAAAAAAAACAAACAAAAACTCAAAACCCTACACCTGTCTTCTCTTCACTCACTAAACTCTCTTACGATGATTGCCACCATGAACAGCAAACCTACTGAGTCTCTGCTGTGCACAGTGCAGAATGCTAGATTCTGGAAGGCTAGTATCTCAAAGATAAGAATTTAGAGTATTTTTATGTTCTGGGGATTATTGTGAACACTTACCAGAGTTTAACATTATGAGCTTAACGCAAGAAATGCATAGCTAGCATTATGGTTTAAAAGCCCACAAGGATCCTTACATGTACCCTGATATAGGAGAGGATTTGAAAGGGTTAATTTCAGAGCCACACCCTTGTGTGGTGCAGGATTCGGAAGTGTTCTTCACACAGCAGGGTCTCCCAGACAGGCCGACTTTGAAATGCTTTCGGTGAGTTTACTTGGCTTTGCTGTTACAGGATAAATTTCACAGATAGAAATATGGTCTTAAAAGTTCCCAACAAATTGCATTTAAAGTGTTAGTATCACAATTTTCTTTATATAGAATGGGTGGCTATATTTTCACTGTTTAGGTAACTTGCGACCCAATTAATAGAGTCTTCCTTAACACCTAAAGCTCTTCATATTACTTTGTATGTATGTAAACAGTCAGTTTAAGCCTAATTACTTGTGAGTACACCTTCTGTTCCAGAGTAAGTTTCAGAAAAGCTCGGGTCCACAGGGCCCACCTCTGTGTGGGTCTTAGATTGTGGTAATGGGGGTGGGTACCCAGTTGTACAACTTCCTCACTTCCCTTCCCTGGGTCAGTCTTTACAGGAAGACTTAACTTTTCTTTAAGGTAAATTCTTCGTGCCAAGTTTTGTTTTAAGCCCTTTTCATATCTTAATTTTGTTAACAGTCACAACAATCCTTCAAGGTGTAGGTGCTGTATTGTACTGGCATAACCACCGAAGAACAGAGAGGTGGTAAGACCGTCCAAGGTCACAGGGGTTGTAAGTGAGAGCCGGGTCTCAGACCCGGGAGGAGTGGCTGCAGAGCCTTGGGCTCCGGGCCTGTGGCGTGCTGCCTCCTATGTAAGTCCCAGTTTAGGGAGAATGTTGTGGGAAACAACTAACCGGTATTTTTAGTTTCATAAATATCTGTTATGTAAGTAAATTATGTGTAATTAGTTATGTACTTGTTTAAGGTCACAGTTTTAATTAAGTATCTTTATTTCCCATCTCCATAATAAAATATGTTGTTGACCATTGCTTGGCAGAACTTAAAAGTTACTATAGTATGTATTAATTGTGATTTTTTTGTGTTCTTGCTTCTCAGTTTCATGGTTTTCTACAAATGAAAATATTCTTATCATTATTTTCCCAATGTTGGCTGTGCTTCTCTTCTGGGGACAGTTTGGTATTGTGAGTAAGTACTTGTTTCTCCTTTTCATTTATGTTTTAGTGATAAAATTGTCATTTCTAGGAGGCAATATTAGTGAAATATTCTATTTAAATCATATCGGGAAGTGTGATAATGTTATAAATAAGAATATACAGTCTTAATATTCTCCTTGAAGTGTATATTGTCCTCTATAATTTGCTGCAGTTTTTAAGAAGTTTTTTTTTTTTAAAGAATAGTGGGGCCCTGGCTGGTGTGAGTCAGTGGATTGAGTGCTGGACTGAGAACCAAAGGGCAGCTGGTTCGATTCCCAGTCAGGACACATGCCTGGGTTGCAGGCCAGGTCCCCAGTGGGGGGTGCATGAGAGGCAAACACACATTGATGATTCTCTCCCTCTCCTTCCTCCCTTCCCCTCTCTCTAAAAATAAATAAAATCTTTAAAAAATAGTGGGAATCCTAATAATAACATATCTAAAACACATGCTGATTTTAATGTTTACTGAGCACTTACACATACATTATTTTGTTTGGGGAGGCAATGGTCACAGCCTACATTAGCTTTAATCAATTATCTTTATTTTCTATCTCCATAATAAAATATATTGTTGACCATAGATTGGCAGGACTTAATAGTATATATTAATTGTGATTTTTTTTTTGTGTTCTTGCTTCTCAGTTTCATGGTTTAATTAAAACAGCCCCTGTGTTAAGATAGGATTTTTCACTTCTGAACATGAAGACTTCCCAGTTTATTTTCCAGTTTGAGCTTCTCTTTCTACGTGTGTTCATCCTTGGAAAAGCTGAGTTGGAACCATATTTGTCAGGCTTACTGTGCAATTCCTCAGCTTCTAGGAAGTAGCCACAGGAGGGTTCTGTTCTTTGCTTGTGTTTTGCTGAATAGCCATGTGAACGAACTCAGGGCAGCTCCTCGTGCTGCAAAAGATTAGCATCAACGCTGTAGAGTTGTCACTGCCGAGTAAACAGGAATGTGCATTCTGGTTGAGGACTGTACTCAACCACGCACTTGGCCCATAAACAACACAGGGTTTGTAGACTGTGCAGATCCACTTTTGTGTGGATTTTTTCCCCAGTAAATACCTTAAGTATATTTTTCTTATGATTTTCTTAATAACATATTTTATTCTCTAGCTTACTTTATTGTGAGAATACACTATATAATATGCACAACATACAAAATACAATATGTGTTAACCAACTGTTAATTTTATTGGTAAGGCTTCTGGTCAACAATAGGCTATTAGTAGTTAAGTTTGGGGGGAGTTTAAAGTTACTTGGGGATTTTTGACTGTGTGGGGTGGGGGTGTGGGTTCTCTTAACCCCTGTGTATTCAAGGGTCAACTGTATTTGCATACCAGTGTGAGAAGGGAGATCTACAAAATTAGTGAAGTTTTGAGGCGACAGTCTAAACTTTTAAACTTTTAACATGTAAGAGTCATTCCTTGTCTCCCAATAGTGCACTGAAATAGTCATTGAAGGTCAATCAGCACTTACGCAAGGCAAAGAGTAGACAGTGCTGATTTCATTTATCTATTTCATCCTGCAACTTTTAAAAAAAGTGAAAACTAGTAAACTATTATAGTGGATTGGCCTGTTGTATATTTCATGAATTTTACTTTTACTCAGAAGTTTAAGGTATGCATATCTAAAATGATTATATAACAACGGAAAGGGAGATGACTGGTTATATATATTAAAGGCTCTTCTCAGTGTACAACACTCTGAAAATGATTTCAAAGCTGTTCTCAATTTTTGTCTAAAAGGCAAAAAAAAAAGGAAAGGGCTCATAGTGACAACTGTCAGGACATTTCACTTCTCTCACTTTGAAAGGGTGTCTAGAATTGCTGCAGAAATTTTCTTAGAATTTTAAGAAGCCTTTTATATCAAGTAAATGATTGGTACAGGATCAAGGCCTCGTCAGTTTTCACTGACATTAGGGAAGCCTTGAACCCTATTGGCAGACCAGACGCTAAGGCTTATATCATATAATTTTGGTAAAAAAAAAATGCCTTTTCTTAAGATCATGAAGTTATTTCAAAGAGTGTGATTTGTTGCAGTCGGGTTGATTATAGTTTGTTGATCAGGACATCCTCATTGGTACCGTGATAGTGGAACAGTGAGTGAGTCTGTTCCTGGCAGCCATGTTTTGACAAAATAAGATTTACAATTTTTTTTGCTGACTTTAAAAAGTAATACATATCACTTTAGAATACCTTATGCAATATGGGAAGTTATAGGAGAAAAAAACAAAAATAGTCTAGAATCCCACAACCTAAAAATAAACTAGAGGTTTAGTCTAGTGAATTTTCTGCTTCCTTTTTGTATTTTTCTATGTATTTTTGTTACCTTTCTTGTAAAAAAAAAAAAAGAGAGAAACCATAAACAGAGTCATATAGCTTATGTACATCCTGATCCCCCACCATGTTTTCAGAAATCTTTTTATAGCTGCCTGTGCTTTACTTTCACTGATGCACTGTAATTTACGTAACTCTTATCTTGATGGATATTAAACATTGTTTCCAGTTTTTTTGATACTCTGAAAGTAACTCTGCTAAAGATACGTAAGGTGGGAAATGCCAGCGTATCAGTTACTATAGCAGGGAGACCACCTACCTGCCTTTCACCTCACAATCCTGACGTCATTGTCCTAAAATCTTTGCTGATTTGCTGGGTGATAAAGATCTTGTTTTAATTTTCATTTTTGTGTTAGTGAGGTGAATGTTCTTTTTTATACTTACTGTACTTTTCATATTTTAAAGAATGTGCTTATGGACCTAAATATTTTGGTGGCGGTATTTTATTTAGCTCATCTAAGAACAAACAACTGTGGGGGGTGGTGCGTGCGTGTATGGAAGGCACCTACATATTTCATTCACTCAGCCTGGATTCACATTTAAAGGTGTTTATAAAAATAGCACCCGACCCTTTGTGGAGCTCTTGTGCTGAGTGACAGGCACTATGCAGAGTACTGTCCATCTGAAGTCACATTCACATTTCCTGGGAACTGTACGGGTGCGGGTACTATTGTTATACATCCTATTTTATAGAAGAAAGAGGGGCATGTGTAGGCTGGGCTGTTTGCTCACAATTACCCAGTTTCTGGGCAATGCTGGGATTTGATCTAGTGTTATTTACCACTACTCTGTACTGCATCCCTGTCCTGAACTTATTGTGAGATTATTTTGAGACTGTATTTTTCCGCAAAGAGTGAACCTATATTTGGTACACAGACCAAGTGAAACTGTTATTGATAGAGTAGAACATGAACCTGCTTTGTTTATTTATTCAACAAAGTCTATTGACAAGATGTGCCCGCTGATTGCTAGGCGGAGGACTATATGTACGTGATGTGGACATGAGATGCATGTTCTCCCTGGCTTTGTAGCACTCATATTTCTGTGCAGGGGACAAGTAAGCATGCACGTTCTGTCATCTGTCACATCTTTGGGATAGACACAGATCTAAATCTACCATTTTGGGGGAGTGGTGCGGGACCCTTGGTGAGAGGTCTCCTGTTTATGGCCCAGAGGTTCAACCAGCGGGAGAGTCCGGTTTTCTGTTTGCTGCTTAATTATATACTTTTGTTTAATGTACTAACATAAAATAGTACCATTTTTATTTTAAATTTTTAGTCACAGAGATATTAATCCACATAAAAAATAAACGTTTTACTAAATTTGTCTCACCTTTTATTACTTCTCCATTGATTGTCTTTATTGGGATTTTGATATTATCATGATCATTACCAACTGCAGGTGGATTAGCAGCTATGTTTATAATCTAGAGATTGCACACTTTTTCTTTCTTAAATATTTTAAAATTTTTTCAGTTACAGTTGATATACAGTATCATATTGCTTTCTGGTGTGCAATATAGTGATCAGACTTTTGTCACTAAAAAGTGATCACAATAAATCTAGGATCCATGTGACACGCACATAGAGTACTCTCGACTACCTTCCCTGTGCTGTGCTTTGTGTCTCCCTGACTATTTTCTAACTACCAGATTGTATCTCCCTGATTATTTTGTAACTACCAGTTTGTACTGCTTAATCCTTTTTTACCCATCCCCCCAAGCCCCTGCCATCTGGCAGCCATCATAATGTTCTCTTTATCTGTGAGGATATTTCTGTTCTGCTAGTTCACCCATTTTGGTTCACTTATAGATTCTACGTATAAGTGAAATCATCTGGCATTTGTCTTCCTCTGACTTATTTCACTCAGCACAATACCCTCTAGTCCATCCATGTGGCTGCTGATGCAAGATTTCATTTTTTTTTTTTATGGCTGAATCATATTCCATTGTATGTAAGTACCACTTCTTTATCCATTCATCCATTGATGGCCACTTAGATTGCTTTTATATCTTGGCAATTGTAAATAATGCTGCAATGAATATATGGTGCGTGTGTCTTTTAGATTTACTGTGTTGGGTTTCTCCTCATAAATACCCCAAAATGAAATTGCTGGGCCTTTCTTAGTCTCTTGTGATAGCTCCTATTTTAAAGTCTATTTTGTCTGGTGTTTAAGTATTGCTACCTCAGCTTTTTTCATTTTCATGAAATATCTTTTTCCATCCCTTTACTTTCAGTCTGTGTGTGCCTTTCAGGTCTGAAGTGAGTCTCTTGTAGACAGCATATGTAAGAGTCTTATTTTGTTATCCATTCAGACACTATATGTGTTTTGATTGGAGCATTTAATCCATTTGTATTTAAAGTGATTATTAATAGATATGTATTTATTGCCACTTTATTGTTCACATTTTTTTTCTTTTTGAAGAAGACTGTAACATTTTCAATAAGGTTTGCTGGTGATGAACTCCTTTAGCTTTTTCTTGTCTAGCCTTCAATTCTAAATGACAGCTTTACTTGTTAGAGTGATGTTGGTTGTGGGTCCTTGCTTCTCATCAGTTTGAATATTTCATGCCAATCCCTTCTGGCCTGCTAAATTTCTGTTGAGAAATCAGTTGACAGTTACGGGAACTTCCTTGCAGGTAACTAACTGCTTTT